CTTCGCTTCCAAACCTTGAACTTGAAATCAGAAGGTTCGACGGTCAACTACGATGTGAGGCCTGTGTGGCTAGATTTGAAGCAGCCCTCGAACCAGCGGCACCCCCTCGATCCTCAACCTCTTCCCAACCCACTCCCAGCCAGACATAACCCCGCCAAGTACTGTGTGTACCATCAGCAGCGCGGTCATGGCACCGACCGTTGCTACCGCCTTCGTCATGAGGTCCAAAATCTCATCGACAACCGGACGATAGCTCCACCTTCAGACCCCAATGACCAAACATCTCCTGCCTACCTCAATCACATCCACATACTGCCATCCACCTTTGACCCCAGCATATACATCACCCCGGCCCATCTACCCAAGCCTGAGGTGTTTATCCCAGAAAGCATGGACTTATGCATGATGGGTACACCCGAACCTCAACCATTTCAAACCCGTGAACCCACTACTTCTGAGTTGATGGGAATGATTAAAGATCTTCAAAAAACTGTGACGGATCTGGCCTCCGGGACATAAGGCTGACCGGTTGTGGGCTCTGCCAGTATGGGAACACAAACCCCGGTTTTACCGGGGCACCCTCTTTGACCATTCGACCTAGTGCATATTCGGATCCATAGTGACCATTCCAAACTAGGACAGGTTGCTTACCCATTTATAGGTTGTTTGAAACCGCTGCGTGCATAGTGAAACCCTAGCTCCTGACAAAATAGGACAGGGAAACCCTACCCCACCATAAGGGTGTTTTAGCTCTCACTTGCTTGCTATGTGCTTTTAGGGTATGTCCCTACAGGAATGCATGTATCAGTTTGCAAGTTTGGGCATCAGGCCTGCGGGTACCAGTTCAGTATTTGGAGTCAGCTTTACCTGTGGGTATCAGACTCAGATTTGAGGCTGAATTTTGGGGCAGAATTCAGTAGAGGGCACACTCATTCAACTATGCTCGTATCTGTTCAGATGGAATCAGGCTATGATGCTGTCTGTTTTCTCTTTTGCTAGGTAGTCTGGGAACCATAGCTTCAGAAGGCTCCGATATCCCCCGAGGTTCATCGAACTTGTGCTGATAGACTTTGTTAGGTCAGAGATTCAGTTCAAAGGCAATCAGTGTTCCTTCGCCATAGGCAAGGTAAAAAGGGCTAGTCGGGCACAAATCACCGGTTTAGCAGTTACCAGGTTAGCGGCCCTTATCCACCCCACCGGCGAACAGTCAGGCTGAGGTCTCAGTTTCTACTGCAGGGATAGATACCAACCAGTCAGATGGATCAGCAGAACACATCAGAGATGAAGACAATGATGCGCCAGATGCAAGAAAGTATGAAACTTATGCAGCAGGATACTGCCCGTCAGGAGGAATTTGCCAAACGGCAGGCTGCAATCATGGCCCAGCAAGCCGAGCTCATCACCAAGCTGCAACAGCAAAGCGGCGCGTCCGCTTCACAACAAGTTCCTCCCCCAGCAGGAGTTCCAGCACCTGGGGAGATGCCAAACGTCCAGGATGATACGGACATTCCAAGCGGGCCGGCTCTGCCCCCAATCTTACCTCAACTATCCAAAACACCTACCAATCTACCGGACTCTCCCTCCGAGTTCGAGGTCGACCCCACAGCGTTGAAGTTGAGCAAGCTTGAAAAGCTGTTCAAGAAATCCCAGGGGGTAAAGTCTATCCCGGGCATTGAGGACGGGTACACAGACGCAGCTATAACTCTGCCGGACAGGTTCAAGATGCCTCACATCGACCGTTTTGACAGGTCAGGAGATCCCATGGTCCACTTGAGCTTATTTTCGGATGTTTTGCGCCCGATGGGCTTGACAAGATTACAGAAGCTCTCCCTTTTTGGCAGGACCCTGTCGGATATTGCAGTCACCTGGTATGCCAAATTAGGGGATTCAGTGAAACGAAGCTGGGAGGAGATGGCCGAGGCCTTCGTCGCACAATATTCATACAATACCCAAATCGAGATTACGACCCGTGATCTTGAGACAATGAGGCAGGAGCCGAAGGAGAGCTTCTCAGAATTCGTAGCCCGCTGGAGGGCCAAGGCTTCAATGATGACCCTTAGGCCCACTGACAAAGATCAAATTCGGATGATTGTGCGCAATCTCCAGCCCAAGCTAATG